TGGCTCATATTTATAACGATTGCACTGATGTGATCACCTTCAGTGTTCTTCTAACAAGCAAAGTCAATGTCAGGGTTCCAAGTAACACCCCCAACAAAAGTAAAACTCCAAGGCAGGCATTTTCCTCAAAATTCCATTTTATTAGAGCTGTCATATTGGCACGTCTGAGAAAATCTGAATCTGAAAGTCCTCTGGGTTTTTCCCACCCAAAGGAAAGTCAAAGCCCCATCCCCTGCACCCACATGTCCATCAAATGTTCCACTCAAACCACCGTCCCAACTGGAAATGATTCCTAATCACACCTCTGCAGGTAGAGGCTGAATGGCCTTGATTCCCAGAAAAAAGAATGTTGTTATGGCTATATCTCTCTCTCTCCAGCTCCATCCAACCCCCTTCATGTTTTCCATAGCATGCCCATCCACTAAGTGGGCAGCCCTAAATATCCAAAATAAAAGATGGCCTCCAGGGCTGACAGTCAGTGGGAAAACCAGATTCATTGTGGCCATGTCGAGGACTACTGTACAGAGAAATGGCCAGAGTGCTGAAGGAGATTGCTTCTGCCAGACTTGTACCCAATTGCCAATCTTACACAACTTCTTGGTTTACTGAGGAACTGAGGGAAATGAATGAAAAGATGTCTAGAGTGATTGCAATGGAAAACCTGAAGAGGATCCAGTGAATGATGATAAAAATGTTGATAAAAGCTCATAAGACTCTGAATTCTCATCTGAATTTGTTGCATCCTCAGATTATTTCCAGCAGTCTTGGGTTACCCAGATTCCCCCAACCTCTTTGAATTAGAGAAGAGGTACTTTTACTAAGTTTGAAATGATAGCAGCGAAAGCAAGGCAAGACTGGTTAAAAATGCACGAAAGTTATACATTGAAATTCCCTCCCCCCAGAGTCCAGAGTCCAATCAGCATCCAGTATGATGTTATGGGAAAGCTCCTCTTCAGGTATTTCTTGCATCTGGAGTCCCTAGATGGTTGGCTTTGACGGAGTATAAGCCACTCCACTCAGCAGCACCATAATTCATGAGTCCAAACCTCCTTCCAGTTCTCATGGGACGTCTACACACCAGCTCACTTCCCCATGGGCATTTGCCCATGTCCTCCTCCCTGTTTCTGTGGCAGCCAATAGCAAGCACACTGCAGAAACCCATGCTGGAGATCTGGCTGACACAATGTCTTGTATGATCCTATGATTTGTTTGTGTTTATCAAGCCCAAGGAAATGGATAGGATCTTGTAGTAATCCCAAAGGTGCTTTTTCAAGAGGCAACTGGACTTTCTGGTTTTTCTTTGAAGAAGTTTTGGTTCTCACTAAGAAGCTTCTTCAGCTCTTCTTCCAAAACCGTGAAATTGATAACCTGTGGAATTGATCTTCCTGGCTTCTTCTGATAGTTGTGCTATGAATGGCTATATTAGGGAAGCTGTAAGCAGTTACTCTGAGAAAAAGTGTCCTGTAGCCCAGTCTGTTTTAAAACAGAAAGTTGTGTGTCATCTCTCGAAGAGCCCCACCTGTCAGCCTCTATCTTGCTTGCTTGCTTGCTATTGGTAGACAAAATCCCATCAGAAGGGAAGGTAATAAAGAAGATATTAGACTGTGCAGAAATGAATAGGTTGACATTGAGAATAAAGGACAGAGAGGAATCCATGTACTACAGGATATAGGGCAATTTTATGAATGGCTTGAAAAAAGATATAAATGGAAAGAAAAAGGAACAAAACATGAAATAAGTATCTCAGATGACATATGATTAAAATGGGAGGGGAAATAAGAATATGTCAAAATGTAAATATACAGATGGAAAAAATGATATGAATTGCCATGTTAAATAACAATTATAAGAATGTATATCTAANACAACAAAAAGAATAAGCATGAGATGGTTGAAGAAATACAGGTCCAAAGTAGTAAAGATACTACAGAACTAAATAGCTCTAAACATACCGTATTGAACTTTCCAAGTTTCTTGAGACTCCTCCAGTGGACGTGCCGGTTGCAGCCCTGTCTTTGCCCACAGTGGCCTCTGGAGCCCCAGAGGAAATTCTCAAGTCTGAGGAGAAAAGATCAGATCAAACATTAGTCAAGGGTTATCAAGCAGGTGCCTGGGCGGTGCGGGCCTCCACAGCCACTTCATTTTTCTCCAGGGCTGCTCTAGTCTGGATTGAGCAGCTTCAGGAGCGCATCACAACCACTGATACCAGGTCACACAGGGATCTAAACAAGATTAGGGCAGCCATCGAATATTCAGCTGATGCCTCCTTAAACGCTGGCAGGTTTGCTTCAAAAGCCATGGCCTCTGCTATCATGGCCAGACACCTGCTATGGCTTAAACTATGGCAGGCGGATATCTGGACCAAGTGGCGCCTTGCGGCCTCTCCTTTTAATAGCACTCAGCTCTTCGGAGCTCCCTTGGACCCTTACTTTAATGAATCTAAAGATAAATGCAATGTCCTTTCTTCTATATATAAAAAGCAGGATAGCTGTCCCTCTCCATTCTATAGAAGGTCGCCTTTTCGGCCAACTGACGGGAGATCTCCTTCTCCCGTCCACCACGTCAGTCTTTCACACCCAGACAGGGATCCAATCAGGACAGGTTGAATAGAAATGCCCAGCGTTTCCCCTCCCCCAAAAGAAGTCTTACCGGGGATGAAGTAACCACTATTTCTCAAAGTGAAAATGACTATCTGGACTCTCTCCCAATCGCGGATCACCTATCATTTTTCGCCCACCGCTGGGAGGAGACCACAACAGACAATTGGATAATCAAAACAGTCAAATTCGGCCTTCTCCTGGAGTTCCTCTCCACCCCCTAGAAACACTTTGTACTATGTCTGATATCACAGTGCCCTCAAAAGAGCCTACTGATGGATTCGGGCCATCCAACTGATCCCTTTCCATCAGAGGGGTTGGGGCTTCTACTCCCGTCATTATCGGCAGTTCAAAATGCACTCCCTCCACACCATTCTGCAAGAAGTCAAAAAAGGCGATTTCCTCACCTCAGTAGACATGACATCCTCACATTCCCATCTTCGCAGACCACCGAAGATGTCTCCAGTTCTCTTATGGGGGGCGCAGTTCTAGTACCCAGCCATCCTGTTCGGCCTCTCCTCCGCCCCCAGGGTCTTCACGAAGGTGCTGGTGCTGATAAGATCTTCTCTTATCAGAATTCTTTGCTACCTGGATGACATTCCCCTGTTGTCCAGGTCACCCTGTCAAGCAAAGAGGGATCTAGCCCAAACCATCCAGACCTTGCGAGATCACGGGTTTGGAGTGAACCTCAAGAAAAGTCACCTCGTTCCTGGGACTTGCATTTTACATCTCGCAGTCATCATAGACATTGTGACAGAGAGAGTAGAGAGTATTTCTATCCCAATACCGCATTCTCAGCCTCAGGGAGGTAGTCAGTAGGGTCCTGCGCCTTCACAAAGTGTCCCTGCTTCTGCTGTCCCAGTTATTAGGGAAAATGGTGTCCTCCTTTGGGGTAGTACCATGGACCAGTTTGCACAGCAGGACCCTGCAGTGGTTTATGCTCCCGCATCAGAAAAGCAACAGGAGCTGCTCCCCCCTCAAGGTTTTCCTCCCCAGACACGTCACCCAGTCTCTAAAGTGGTGGCAGTCCCCACCGATCTTGTAGGGGACATTATTCAGAGAGCCGGCCCATCTCACTCTTACGACGGACGCCAGCCTCTACAGGGTGGGGAGCGCACATGCAGAACCTGGTGGCCCAGGGTCAGTGGTCGCTAGAAGAGAGCCAAAACAGCATAAATTGGCTAGAACTGCGGGCAGTCCCCTTCGCCCTGGGACACTTCCAACAGACGGTTCTCTAATGATCCTTCTCAGTGTATGTTCTTTTGTGTATTATGATTTCAGCCATTAGTTCAGTTAAGACTAATGCATAATAAAACATAAAATAACAGAGTTGGAAGATACATTGGAGATCTTCTAGTTCTGCCCCTGCTCAAACAGGAGACCATTCCAGACAAATGATTGCCCAGTCTCTTCTTGAAAATTGCTGCAAATCACATCAAATAATCAAAAGGGGCTTTGCTTGCCAAAAAGTTTTTTTTCTGCTTGTGAATTACATGCACCAATCAATTATATTTACATATTTCACATGTCCCATACTTTTCATGCCAAATGGTTTAAAGTTGGGGTTATCAGTTGGTGACTTCTATCAATTTATGTACACATAGCGCAATTACAAGGTTATTGCATCAATTGGTTGTGTCTTTGGCGGGAAAGAATTTGGTAAATGATATGAGATATGAGATTTTAATATTAAAGGCAGGAAAAAAGCAAGAGGGAATTATTTATTTTTATAGTTTGTTTTTTTTTAAGTAAATTAAATACTTTTCAGAAAATTGAAAATCAGTTTCCAAAGGTTCATAATTAAGGTTTGGCAAAAGGCTAAGAAATTAAAAACATGTGGAGTTTATCTATTATAAGATACCTTGACTTGCTATGTAAATCACTGGAAAGAAAGCTCATCTATAAAATACAGGATTATTCATTTTGTAATTTTTTCAAGAGATAAATTATATCAAGCTTGTAATTCCTCAGTTTAAAAACTATCCCTCAATAATCCTAAAATATTCCTTGAAATAACAGTGCAGTTTATTATTGATTGCCACTTCAGTGTGAAAAATACAAAAGATTATCAAGAAATATATGTAATTAACACTTGCCTTTTTTTCTTTGCAGACCAACTTAGAAGAGGAAGAATTAGTTAAAGAAGCTGCTTCTCAAGTGCAAGAAACATTTCAAGCCAGCATTTCAGTAGCATCCAACATCCTTGGTAATAAAATGCTAGGCATAATTTGCTTATCTATAGATTCTTGGTTGCGTTGATAGCAGCCTGCCCTAATCTAGTATTTTTCTGATAGTAGCAATAGCAGTTAGACTTATATACCACTTCATAGG